AAATTAAAATTAAAATCAGACCTAACCCGATCAGTTGAAATTGGCCGGTTCTTACAGGTCTTTAATCTAACATCTAACACACACACACACACACACATATATATATGGGCAAAAGACTGTTTACTACCCTTATGTTTTGTGGTTTTCAACATTTAGTACATCAAGTTTTTTTCGTCCCAGAGTCATACCTAAAGTATAAATTTTGGGACAATCTCATACATCCGTTAGTCAAACTGTTAAGTCTGCCGTTAACAGTGATGTGGCGCCCATGTGGACAATGACTGGGCGCCACGTGTCATCCACGTGGAAATTTAAAAAAAAATAAAAAATATATATATTATAAAATAATAAATAAATAAATTTAAAAAAAAAAACGTTTTTTTTTTTTTTTTCCTTCTTCATTCCTTTTCCTTCTTCTTCTTCTTCCTTCTTCTTCCTCTGACTGAATCTGGGTAGCAGATTCGTTTTTTTTTTTTTTCTCTTTCTTCTTCCTTCTTCCTTCTTCTTCTTCTTCTTCCTTCTTCCTTCTCCTTCTTCCGAATCTGCCCATTTTTTTTTTCTTCTTCCTCCTTCTTCTTCTTCCTCTTTCTTCTTCTTCTTCGTTCTTCTTCTTCTTCTTCTTCTTCTTCTTCTTCTTCTTCTTCGAATCTACCCAGTTTTTTTTTTTCTTCTTCCTCCTTCTTCCTCCTTCCTTCTCCTTCCTCCTTCTTCCTCATTCCTTCTCCTTCTTCTTCTTCTTCTTCTTCTTCTTTGAATATGCCCAGTTTTTTTTTTTCTTCTTCTTCCTCCTTCCTTATCCTTCTTCTTCTTCTTCCTTCTTCTTCCTCTTCGAATCTGCCCAATTTTTTTTTTCTTCTTCCTCCTTCTTCTTCTTCTCCTTCGAATCTGCCCAGTTTTTTTTTTTCTTCTTCCTCCTTCCTTCTTCTTCTTCCTTCTTCTTCCTCCTTCTTCTTCGAATCTGTCCAGTTTTTTTTTTCTTCTTCCTCCTTCCTTCTTCTTCCTCCTTCTTCCTTCTCCTTCTTCTTCTTCTTCTTCGAATCTGCCCAGTTTTTTTTTTTCTTCTTCCTCCTTCTTCCTTCTCCTCCTTCTTCTTCTTCTTCTTCTTCAAATCTGCCCAGTTTTTTTCCTTTTTTTTTTCTTCTTCTTCCTCCTTCTTCTTCCTTCTCCTTCTTCCTTCTCCTTCTTCTTCTTCTTCTTCTTCTTCCGAATCTGCCCAGATTCGGTTTTTTTTTATTTTTTTTTATTTTTTTTATTTTATAATATATATATATATATATATATATATATTATTTTATAAATTTTTTTAAAAATTTCCACTTGGATGATACGTGGCGCCAAGTCATTGGCCACATGGGTGCCACGTCACAGTTAACAGCTGACTTAACAGTTTGACTAACGGATGTATGAGATTGTTCTAAAATTTACACTTTAGGTATGACTCTGAGACGAAAAAAAATTGATGTACTAAATGTTGAAAACCATGAAACATGAGGGTAGTAAACAGTCTTTTGCCCAATATATATATATATATATATATATATATTAAAAAAAAAAAATGAAATTAAAATTTAAACCTCGCCGCAGAGCTTTGGTCTTTGGAGGCAAAAGCCTTCACAAATACAGAAAGCAAGCTGACACCCTCCGCATCCAGCCAACACCCTACATTTCCTTAGCTGGCCTCTGAGCTTCAACCACCACCACCCACTGACCACCACCAAATATCATCCATCCCATTACCTTACTACCACCCTAAATGCAATCACCGCCGGCAACAATGGCGGCGGCGATGCTGCTGCTCCTCCTCCTGCCGATGGCGTCAACTGTGGTGAATGTGGGAGCATCTAACACAAACAGCGTGTACAACCCATGCACAGACACCAAGATTCAGAGGTCCGACGGCTTTACATTCGGGATCGCATTCTCGTCCAAGACCTCCTTCTCCCTAAACGGGAACCAGTCGCATCAGCTCTCCCCCTGCGACCGCCGCCTCTCGCTGTCCTCCTCCAACTCGCAGCTCGCGCTCTTTAGACCCAAAGTCGATGAGATCTCCCTCCTCACTATCAACACCTCTTCTTTCCAACCGGTAATCTAAACTCTTATCTTTTACCATCTTCTTCTACCCTTTTACTCTCTGTTACAGTTTTTGAGCTGGATTGTGATGTGACTGTTTGATTACTAATCGCTGATACTCTTGATTCTTTGGACCGTGTAATATTCATGTGATTATCCATCAACCAACTTGGACTTTAACCCTTTTGTGACGATTTTAGCCGGCGTTGTAGGGATTAGTTAGCAATAGAATCTGTCATCTTTAAAAAGTGAAAATTGAAGTGTATAAATCTTAAAGTGAGAGTTGCATAATCTGGGGATGTCAAGTTAGCAAGAATCCTGAAGTAGTTAGTGAAAAGGAATGATGCTGCATTCGTTTAAGCCTACACGGATCCTCGAGTCTTTTGTCTTCTTCCCATCATGTTCAGTGAAGAATTTTTGTTTTACCATATTATGTTTGGTGTGCATTTGGTTAGCTGGCTTTGTTTGAGGGGAAAGGGTCAAAAAATTGAATTGCTTTCGATTGTTTGCCATTATCTTTGCTTGAGAGATAAAAATTACTCGTGTTGCATTTATGTTGAAATTGTTTGGGGTTCGTTTAGATACAGATGTGTTAGTATGAGCTATTAAGATACAGGAGATTGGTTTTTTTTTTTTTTTCCTTCCATTTCGATTTTCTGATAGTTTTTTCCTTTCATTTGATTTTTTAGTGTTAGAACGCTAAAACTATTAGCTTCATTCTAGCTGTTGTACGAAACAGAAAAAAAAATCTTAATTTTTTTGGGAACTGTTCTACTTATCCATGATATGTAATGCTTTCACTGGGGAGAAATTTGCATGATCGGAGGCTCTATCTAACGTACGATCATAACTCATGAATAGTATGGAGTACCTAGTAAGTTCGGTAAAGAAAATCAATAGCATGGTTAAGGAAAATAAAAGAGAATACAGAGTACTTGGGATACTTTGGAAACATTTAACCGAGCAACTGTCTTATTGATTGTTTCAATCGTAGGTATGATAGTGCAATGACATTCTAAAACTCAACATAACTTTGAAGAGTGATTTCTGGTAGATCACAAACAAAAATGATAACCTATGACTTAGAAATTCCATTGAAAGATTAATATTTCTTCATGGATTTTGATAGGGTAGACCTTCAGATAGAATATGGTGCGGGCTTTCCTTTACTACAGAACATCTAAGTACCACGCGCCCTATTACATCTGAAGGTCTCTTAATGTTGGTTGTGAAGATCGGCACAGGAATAATCTAAAGCTCAAGGGTATTTATTATAGGCTTGTCAGCTTGAGCAGTTATTTTGCCACCATTTGTTGGTATATTTGGAAGTGGAGATGTAAAATACATTTATGATCAACTCCAGCTTCCCTGCAACCGAAAAATGAGTTTCTGAACTTCATCAAACGCCGGGGTGGAGGAAACCAACTCTTCTACTGTTGGCAATCCCGCATGAAATAAAGTCTTGGTTGGACATTGGAGTCCCTCTCCTCATGATACAATTAAGTTAGAAAAAGGTTATAAGAATGTGGAAAACAAATCATTTGCTGTCATGGGAAACCTGGAAATAAATTATCCCTATAAAATATAGGAAGCTAAACGTAATTACATCTGTGGTGTTGTTTGGCTGTGTATGTTGACCTGTTGGTTTTCTTAACTTTGTATTGTCTTTCCTGTCATGTGTTTATATCGTGAATGGATCAGATCACTAAATTGTATGCCCTTATGAGCTTTCTAGGATTCATATGGTGGGTACATGGTGGCGTTTGCTGGACGAAAATATGCTGCAAGGTCTCTCCCTGCGTTTGTTGGAAACAGCACATACATAGTGACAAGTTTTACGTTGGTGAGTATGTGTCACTTTGAATGAGTTGATATTCGGTAAGCGATTTTCCATTTGTAAATTCTCTATTCCAACATATGGGATTTGATGAAGGTACTCGAGTTTCAAAAGGGTAGGCTGCAAAACTTGTATTGGAAGAGAGATGGGTGTGCTAAATGCACAGGAAACTCCAATTTTGTTTGTCTTAACAAACAAGACTGTGCCATCAAAACATCAGGCTGTAAAAACCGAGGGGGTTCTGTAGATTGCAGTCTCGGGATACAACTGGCCTTTTCTGGTACAGATAAGCATCTCTCGGTTCTCAATTCATGGTATGAGGTGGAGAACCTTCGGCAGTATTCTCTCTATGGCTTGTACTCCAATCTCAGAGATTCTCTCACCAGCCAGTATAACAACTTCTTTTAAAACTCTACTCCAAAGTGTCAAAGTATCGTGGTCATGCGTAATGATGTGCAATTTTGTCATCCTTAATCTTTGCTGCTTCTGCGTGTCCTCTTTGTTGCTCTCTGTTCTTTTTTTTGCGATTTACCTATATTTCTACAGATGTTGGACATGTAATTATTTCCGTTGTAAGATTTTTGTAAGTTATATATTTTCATGAACTTGTTATCGATGCAATTGATATACATCGGATGAGCTTAGCGTTGCAGTTAAAAAATTACTGTCAAAGTTAAACAGTCGTACTTACAACTTCTGCAGTTTGTCTAAGGACTGATAGAGGTTTCTCTAGACTTGAAATTTGAACTCTTCTCCCTTGCTTTCTGTATGTTTTCCCTCTTTTCGGGCATGACTCTGTTCTATCCGAGTCCATCTAAGTTGCATCCATACTTGTTTGTTCGACTTTTCCCGTACTCGTACTTGGTAACTGTAATATACCCAGATTAGCATAGAGGATACAAACATAGACTGAGTGCCATGGCAGGTTAAGTGAACATTATTTCCATGTCCTAATAATTCCGGTAGCTTTTCCGGTGGATGTTTGTGTTGTTGTAAGTGTTCCTCTATCACTTCAGTACAAGTGAGCGGAATTAATACAAGAAAATTAAAGTCATTTGTTGGACGACACCAGTCCAAAATGTTTAGAGAAATGTACAATCAAAATGAACAACTTCATTACCTCTTCTTCAGATGAAATCTTTCCATACAAATTTTCATAGCACGAGATCACAAAGAAAATTAATACGCATTAAACGATCTTCTATAACTGGGTGATGTATATTTGCACAAACAAATTCCTTTTCCGAATCAAAAAAGAAATGTTCGGTATGTGTTAAAGAATAATCAGAACCTGAACTGGGGAGAGGAACAACTTGGATAGCTGTAGCTTGAACATTCTGCAGAAGCCAAAACTCGATCAGTAACGAATGCCATGGGGGTACACATGCTGCCTCATTGCTCTGTGGCTAGAAAAGAGGATATGAAGACGGAAAAAGTGTGAAATCTTCAGCTTCTTCGGTCTTGTTGCACTCATGAAGCGAGGTTGCTGATGCCAAAATAGACTGTTTTCTGTTGAAAGGCATTAATTAGCAAAATCAACCACAAAATGGCCAAACTGTGATTTGAAGCGAGGGCTGTATCCAAGCCCAAACTCCCAAATTAAATTGACTTGATAATCAGGCAAAGAAACAACATTAAGAGGTCAGAACTACAATAACGGAAATGGTAATGTGGCCACGTAGTAACAAACAGAAGGATAAGTGTGATCGAGATTAGCAGGAGTGACATAATCACCCAAAGACGAAGTAAGTTGTGCATGAATTGTGCAAGAGGTTTGGAAACTAAGCCTCTGAGCCTTAACCAGACTCGTCAACCAAGTTCCGCCTGTACAAGTGTATCAATTTTTTACTCCCAAGTTTGGTAGTATGCAGGTTAGGTGGGTTACTACGCTGGGACTTCAAAAGTGATAAGTTACTCCAATCTCTTTGGTATGCTGGGTGGAGGGCCACCTTTCGCAATAGGTTGTTTATGCCAATGACTCTGCTGTGGAAAAAAGAAAATTTCTAAGGCACGCAGCTCTCCAGTATCTACCACATCTCATTTGTTATGCTAACTAAGCATTGCTTTTTGGGAGCTTACTGCTAAAAGGCCGCACAAGAACACTCAAAGACGAGTGGATAAAGAATGACATGGGTCAATCATTTCAAGACCTATAACGAAGTTAAAGAGTTGAAATATAACCAAGTGAAATTTGAACTCACTAGGGACATGATGAGAAGACCCCAAATCAGTTTCAAAGTCCAAGAAAACAGAACCTTCCACCATCTTGTTCTAAATAGTAGATCCCACTGCTCCTTCACTGTAACCTCATACACTGCCAAGACCTCCAACTGCAAATGCTTGGTAAGGAGCCATGTCCCCTACAGTGGAACCACCTGTCATTCTGTCTGAGGAAAAAGTATGGGAATCACAGATACAACAAGGTTCAATTATCCATAAGTTATACAAAGCACGTAGATACGCAGGCTTGTGCTTCTGAATCACCAAGTGGAACTAATGAAGTTCCTGCTGTGAAATTGTTTAAGAAAGAGAAAAACTAACTCGAACCCAAAAGTTAATGATAAATTCAGGTATGCGCCTGCACCCACGGCTGAGTACAACAAATCTCCACTATATTAATAATGTGAACAATAAAATTTCTTTTCAAACCTTTACGTTTAAGGCTCGATGAACAACTAGAAAGCACAAGAACAAGAAAACAAGGATATAAGGAAACTCTCTTATCTCTTTTCTTCTCTCTCTCACACGCTTTTCCCTTACATATTCTCACACTCTAACACCTTGAGTGGAATACAATTGTTTTGCTCTCCGCTCACTCTCTCTCTGGAGTATTCCCGCTCATCTTTGTAGTAGAATACTGAATATTATTCCATCTTGGTTGCGGATCCTAGTTCCTGTAAACAAGTACATCAACTCTCCTCATATAGCCATGATAGAGGGTTCGCTAATTAGGAAAACTAATCTAAATTGGGATCTAATTACCAAAACATTACGAAACCTTCTTCAATAGGGAAATGGAAATCAAATCCAAATGGGATTACGGTATCATTCAAGATTATTAGATCTAATTCATGTCAAATGCTTCATGCAGACTCACTTCCACCCCACATTTTACATGCACTCTTGCTCAATCACCTTGTCAAGAGAAATGCGGCCCAAGTTTGACTCCCTTTGATACAACGAATTTAAACTTGTTGAATATTAGCCACTGAGATAGAACTGGTATCCCATGTTCTATCTGCAGACTGAACTGCATTCAAGACAAACTACCTGCTAGTTTCACATATAATCTTTCACATTAAAGATCACAATTTGAACTATCATACTGTCATGGGGACTTCCACCGCAGGATTATCATCTTACAATGTGAAAAGATTAGTCAAACAAATTTGGAAACTAAGTTCTCAAAATCGAGATTACCGGCAAGTGACAGGAAACCCATCAAAATCTCGGCTCACAGAGCGGCCATTACAATTCAATGGTCGGACATGCTGCGTAGCACACAATTTAAATTCATATAAATAGTCTGGAAACTGGAAAGAGAGTGTATAAAAGAGTACCACAAGGATTCTGATAAGTGGAAAATGTAATGAGGTACCTTGAACTTTATGCTAGTTGTGCTACTCCATTTGGAACTTGAAGGCTCATTCAGATCCATGCCTACTCATAACCGAGATAATAACACAAAAAGAAGAGAGAAAAAAATAACCCGTACTACAAAGGACTGTTAAGCTAGCCGTTCGGGTCTTGGTCTTCTTATAAGCCAGTAAAACATTAGAATCATACTGGCCCTCATCCCATGACACATCAAGCTTCTCACTTGTCCCAAATAAATTTGGATGTTTGATGCAAAGACTGCAATGAGAAATTAAAACTGAACACTTTTATCTAATTAATGGAAAATGATGCTATCGGTATCCTTAGTTCACCCAAATTGCATATCCCACAAACCATAAGACCCAAAACTTCAAACATCAAGAACCCGAATTTCATATGCTACAACAAAGCCTTGTCCCACTAATTGGAGTTGTATATGAATCATAGAATGCCATTGTGCTCGGTTTTATGTCATGTCTTCTCTTAGATCCAAGTAATCCAATTCTTTTCTTAGAGTCTCTTTCCAAGTCTTTTTAGGTCTTGCTCATATTTATTGACGGTGTGAAATGAAGGAAATACCCATGGACATTAAATTGTGTGATGTGGTCTAGGTGTTGTGCATGGATTACTATTCTCAAATCCTAATTGTTTTGGACCAATTAGGATTAGGTATATTATGTATTTTGAATTGTTGACCAATTATAGGCCACACACCCACATCCACATCACCTTCTCTCTCTCACTCCCGTACTCTCCCTCTCGATTCCCTCTCTCTTCCCTCTCCTCCGTATGGACAAGGTCGAACCAAGCCAAATCTTCACGGATCATGGCCAAATTTGGTATCATTGTGTTCGTGAGGACCATACGAGTTCAAAGGTACCTATTTCAGGTAAGAACTCGTTCGATTTCACGTTGAAAACTCAAGCTCCGAGTTGAGCACTATTCATGAACTTTTGAATGGTTGTGTTTTAGGACAATCCAAGCTCATAGCGAGCTTAGTGAGGTCCCAAGGAAGCTCGGAGTGCTTCGTTTGAAGGTTTTGGACATCGGGATCACGAGGTTCGAAGGTGGCCGGTTTTGGTGAGATTTTCTCGACGTGTTTTCGAAGGATTTGAGGCTCCAAAGAGGTATAACCTTCTTCCTCTTGAAATTTGTGACATTTGGGTGAAAATTTCATAGAAAATAGTGCAAAAACGAGAGAGAAATGGGCAATTGCAGGTCTGCCCATAATCCGGTGCCGGTGGCACTATTCTGGCGTCTGGAGGTTAGGGGTGATGCGCGTGAGGGTGCGTGATGCCATGCCCTCCCCGGCGCGTAAGGGCGCGTGAACCATAGTTAAATTTTTCTAAAAATATCATGATGTTCGTGAAGTTGTGTAAATCACTGTGGTATATTCATATACCCAAATTGAGCAATGTATGAGAAGTTATTAGCTAATTTTACGTATGTGCTTTAACATAACGTTTTTATAGTTAATTCACATATAGGTGAGACTTATCCCGAGGACGAGCGTATCCACGGGCGACTCGGGGCTACGACCCTTCGACATATCAGTGAGTGGGCTTTTGTTTTTAGTATATAGTTATATACTTATTATATTTCCCAGAAATGTGTTTTAAATAAAACTATGCTTTGAAATAATATGCCAAATGCCTTTATATTTTGGTTATGCATTTCATAGTTGCATATATATATATATATATATATATATATATATATATATATATATATATATATATATAAATGTGGTGTTGTGGAGGCGCAGGTAAGTTCAAGTTATGTTTGATTAGGTGAACTACGAACGACTTGATCCCTGTTTAGGGTACGTAGGCAGTCTAACGAAAGGTTAGGTGCAGCCATTCAATAAATGAGATGAACATGTTGATTGTCTATATGAGATATGATTGAGTAACGATGAGCTCATAAACCTGCACCCCGGGTGATTGCGATTTAGCCAGAGAGAGTTGGCACATGCCTGTATATTATGTCACCTCCCGCACCATCTGCTCACATTGGATCCAATTAGGTGCACATTCTTGTCGTACAGGCCACTATAGGTGGTTCCGACTCGTAGATGACTAACGTATTATCGCACAGCTAGCATTGAGAGAGTAAAATTGAGCATAATTATATTACACCCAATCTTGTCGTACAGACCCCCTTGTAGTGGTTTCGACTTATGTGCAAAATATTGCCGTACAGGTCATAGTAGTGACTCCGGCTAGATTGAGTTTGAGCTATGAATTCAGCCGTACAGACTACCACAAGAGTTCCGGCTAACATATCTTATTTCCATGAAATCATTCTTACCTAAACTGTTTACTTTGTTATATTTTGGCATGGCATACATATGAATATAATTATGTGAAGCATGAATTGACTCGATATGTTTGCTGATATATTCATATATATAATTGTATCTTGATTCTAGGAAAATTATACATGTTTTACAGTGAGGGGCTAGATATGTTGATACATGAAATGATTTTGTAAAACATTTGTTTATGCCCACTCACGTTTTCTATTTTGCGCCCTTCTAGGTTTTAAGTAAGCTTGCAATTGGTGGCTCGGGATCGTCGGCAGTTCTGACCTATTGGAATAATAGTAGGACATTCCTGGTACTGTATAACAAGTACTTGTCCTACTGGACTGCATCTAGACTTTATGCTCTGATTAGGAGAGTTTATGGTTGTAACTAACTTCTATCGCTTCTTGCTAGTAGTACACTCTATTAATATGATTTTTATTATTTGTATGTTTGCTATCTTTATCGCTTCCGCACTGTGCACATGGCTACGCCACTCTCACGTGACGGCCAGCATGCCTTGACCTCGGTCGGGGTGTGTCAACTTGGGCTTGAGCCCACTGAGGGATGACACTGTTGTGACGTCATGCAGCAGAAGGTGTGGCTCCTACCTACGTGCGCACCACTAAGCCAACGACTCCATTTTCTGCAATCTAAAAATTGAAAAAAAAAAAAACGATGGTGTGCCACATGGCACAATCCGGCACATTTGATTTCAAAATTTTTTGGAAATTAACGACCAAGATTTATCCAAACGTAAAAAAATAAAAATAAAATCCTAAAATTACCTAAAAATCTCAATTTTTTTCTATAAATACCCAAACATCTTATTCATTCCTCACGCCACAACTCAATATTTATTTTTACAACAATGTCCTATATTTATTGAAATTAGACAATCATTTTATTTTCATGGAACAAACTTGCAAAGCATTTTTTTTTATGAATAGTAATCACCCTTGCTGTTCTTTTTCCTAAATGGGTGGACTTGCACAAAAGCAATTATTGTTTAAAGTGAGTAGTAAGTGCAATTTCATTGCCCTTGCCCTTGCCCTCCTAAAAGGGGTAAAGTTGCTCTTAGAGCAACTCTATCCCTCCCAATCCCCATGCAATTGAAAAGGGGTAAAGTTGCTCTTAGAGCAACTCCATCCCTCCCAATCCCCATGCAATTGAGTAATTCAATCCCCTTACCCTAACAAAAAGTGCTCCACTGAACCCAAATTAGTGAGGCTATTTAGTGGGCCCAACCCCCAAGACCAAGCAAACCAGCCATTCTCGTCCATATGTCTGCCTGAGTGGATCATGGTGCTAACAACATTCTAATTTCTTTTTCAGTTAGGTGCATGGGCTTCATGTGCGAGTGGGGAGAGTGAGCTTACCAAACTGTCAGTGAGACCGGCACTCAAGCGCACTCAGTTTTTGTTCAAGCGCGAGCCAATGGAATTCTTAGATTCGACGGTCCGCATTAATCTACCTTTTAATTCATATTAAAAAAATTCTGGAAAAGGATTGAGCCCACGTGACACAACCTGGAATGTGGGATTGTAAAAAAATTGTAATCCAATAGTCTATATATGTCATTTGAAACAAAAAAATTATTTAAAAATCACAAAAAATGGAAAAAATAAAATTTAAAACTAAAAGAAATAAACATAAATGTTGTAGGATTAGTGGGTGAATGCCCACTCAAATGAATAAAGACTTGGGAATAGTATTTGATACTTTCAAAAGTGTCATCATTGTATTTGGATGGTTGTTATTACAGGAGTTGCTCTATAAATAGAACACTCTGTGTCCTATCAAAACACAATGCGAAAGAAAGAATCAAAGAAATAATATCAATATCCCTTCCTTTCTTTATCTACCATCCTTTTGTGTTATTGTTATAGTGTGATATTTTGCACCTATTTCGCTCATATCTTTAGCAAAGGTTATCTCTCTAACTTTTGCCTATTTATAACACGTTATCAGCACAACTCTCTAACCTTAACTAGTTCTCATTTCCCTTCACCGAAAAGAAAAAAAATATGCTTCCTCCAAGGATTTTCTTGTTCTTTTTCTTCCTCTGCCTCACCTGCATAATGTACCCTCGCGATGAATTGCTAGCACCATGCCTGCTTCTTGTTCTCAATTTAACAATTACTTATATCTTTGATTTCTTGTTTGGTGTAGTTCCTGATTACTAACCCAGTGTTTATTTATGTTAATTTTACTGTAATCAAAGATGGTGCGGTATAATTTCCTATCTTGAATTGCAAATTTAATTTCATTGCGATTATAGATGGTGCGGTACAATCGCCCATCTTGAGCTGCAGATTTAATTTTATTGCAATTTTAGGTGGTGCGGTATAATCGCCCACCCTACTCTACATATTTAAATTGCTCTGCATATTTAAATTTTCCTGTTGTTTGAGTGGTGCAGAATAATCGCCTGTCCTATGCTTACTTCAATGAGAATGGTGCGGTACAATCGCCCTCTTCATTAATCGTGTCAATCTCGAGTCTGAAGTTTCGAGTGCTTATCATTTTGGCCTGAAGATCAAAATGAAATTTTTTTAAGAATCAGAAGTTCTAACACTATATTCCTCCAGGAATCCATATTATTGCAAGTTTTTACACATCTCATTTTTCTTTCAGAAAAGAAAATGGCGAACTTGGCAAAGCTTTATTTTGTTGCCCTGGACATTATTGGGAAGATTACCTTACCTAGGTAGTGGATACCAAGATCCATTTGGAGGCAAGGAATCTTGGAGAAACCATTAGGGAGGAAAACAATGCATCCTCTCAAGATCGGGCGAAGGCCATTATCTTTATTCGTCGCCACCTTGATGAAGGACTAAAGAACGAGTATCTAACGGTTGAAGATCCGTTAGCTATTTGGAAGGCATTGAGAAATAGATACAATCACCATAAAACGATGATTCTTCCAAGGGCTCGCTATGAGTGAACTCACTTAAGGATCCAGGATT